TGAAGCAACCAATAATTAGCAACTGAAAAAAACAAAGCGACTTGCCTTTGCTTAGTAAATTGACATTCCTTCATGCTTCACTAATAGAGAAGATAGTTAACAAGTTGAATGTATGGCCAACGACATGGGAGTTATCTGCATGAAAAGGGGTTGCATGGACATAGATTTTTAAATATAAATGTAATTACACATAGTTAAAATATACAAAATATGAAATTAAATGTATAGTTGCACAGTTTTCATCTGACCCTCAAGTCAAGTAAATACAGTAAACCATCAATTTAACAGACTTCAGATTTAACAGAAAAAATCTGTTAAAGGTGGAATTTGTCAGTAAAATCATATAAAACTGGACTTTCTCCACAAAACGACATGCTCGAAAGTAAATAAAAAAATACTACATAGGTTTAAATTTAAAGAATATTAATGTTGCCTTTCAGGGGTAGGTCAATTGCTTACAAAGGGTGTTGTTAGTCTTTCCTACGCTTTAGCAAATTTTATACAGAAAATTTACAATACGCAAAATAAAGAGCTTTCAAATTTATGTTAAAAAAAAACACAGAAACAATTTTCATTGATTGTGTTGATTGCATTTGTCAAGAAATGTCAAATATCCAGAAAGCATATATAAGTATGTCTATATTTTTCTCATATAATGGTGTGTTTTGGGCTTGAAACTACATTGTTTGCAATTTAATGGAAATACAGCAATAACAGACATCCCTTCCGCCTATCAATCCATTAGACCAAGGTCTTACTGCACTGTTGATTTCCGCAAATATAAGAATATAAGATATTACAGCACAATCACTTCCAATGTCTACATTAAAAATAAAATGCAAAATATATTTTTACAATTTTAAATATGAATGATATTTAAAGAGATATGTTTTTTTAAAACAAATGTACAATTTTTCAATCATTAATCATTTTGAATTATTGAGACAACAATTCTATAATGCGTCAGTTCAGTTTTTTAATAATCATTTATTTGTCTTGTACAAAGTAAACTGGTAGGATGGGTTACTGTGAAAAATCTATGAGTGGTCTACATTAATACAAACCGTTAAAAAAACAATTAGGCTCATGGTTCTTCAAATGCCATTTCAGTTGTGTTGCCATTACTCTTAATAGTTTCAAGCAATATGTTCTCTCAGAGGTCAGGTTGCGTCTACTATTTTGAGGGTCACTGGACAACAAAGCAAAAGGAGAGCAATTTTGCATATGCATCACAGACACAACATTTATACCTAGACATTCAAACGCATTTCCTGGATATCTCAGTATTATCAGTACTATCAGCACTAGCATCATTTGTTTATTTACTAATAAATAAAGGTGAATGATGTCTTTTTCATCAGGATATTTGTCCCTGGCATCAACTGCTTTATTTCTCCTTTTTTGTATGCTCTATTAATCTGATCAAAATGTTGTATCTTGCAGTTTGCTCCTGGTATCCATTTTCAAATATGACAAATGCCTTAGAGTACAGTATCAAAAGTTTTTCTTAAAGTGTTTTCAGTATCATGTAGCTTTGTCTGGCAAATGAAATCCTATTACAAACATAACTTATTAAAATTCTCACCTTGTCAGAACATGTAAAATGCAAGGCTTGAAAAAATAACAGAGAAAGAGACTGGAATGTTCCACACAGAAGACAAATTACTTTAAAAACATACCTTACTGCAGTTAACTTCCACACTATAAAATATTCTGCCTCTTTAAAACTCATTATATAAGAAATGTCTGTCAGTGCCCTTTTAAGTTTCATAATCTGAAATTTAGCAATTCATGAAACAACTTGACTTTCAACTTTAAATACACATAATTTAACATTACAAACATTTCTAGATTTTAATAATTTGAAGATATTTTAGACTGCAATCCTGGCAGAAAAAAAAACACTGTACATGCATTTTAAGTTATACAGTGACTCTACAGTAGCTAGTATAAAGAATTAAAGAATGAAGAAAAGTAAATGTGACTATTTCTCAACAAAGTGATAACTCTCAGTGTTAAAGATACTGCTCTTACATATCTGTGCAGACTGAAGCATGCTACCACATGGCAAGAGAGCATGTCTGTACGTCCCAGCAAATCAGGACAAACATATTAGCAATCACAATATAAGCCTACAATCTTTTTGGCCTTGACAGTACAACAGTGGTAAATCAAAATATGTATTTTCATGAGGCTTGGCCCGGCACATACACAGTATCTGAAACTGAAACAAGAGTAAAAGTCTATCTTTTGGCGTATGCAGTATATTGTTAATTCTTCAAATCCTCCTGGCAGAAAACGGTCATAGACATTTAAAGAAGTAGAAAAAGTTATTTTACAAATAAACCACGTGCAATAATCAAACTGTCACATGTAAAACACAGAAGCTACAGCCCAGCATATGAAACATTTTTATGTTAGTCTTTCTTATGACCACTGCAAAATAACTTCTGCGACACGATATAGTTACAAAGAATGGAAACACTGCACTGTGGAGTGCCATCAGCTCATGGAAAATCTCATATTCTATTGTCTCTGATATTAATAAGGCATGACCCTAGCATACTACAGTAGACTGAGTACTGCATGCTTATCTATTTTAGATGCCACTGAAACAGGTAAAAGGGGTAATTAAACAGGCAAAGCAAAGTGATAGGAAATGCTGCAAATGCAGAATGCAGAGTGGTGAATAAAGTGCTCAGGCATTGGTAACTACTTTATTCCATTCCTTTCTGCCCCTGATGAAACACGTCTATACTGGTTTTCCGCAACACGTTTTTTTAAAACACACTTCAAGTTAGTGCACAAACTATCCAGACATGTCTTCTCCACCCTCACCAGCAAGGCAATGCAAGACAAGTTTGACCTGTATTTCTAGAAAAAAAATTCTGAACGCATCTCTAACAAAATGTTTTTTTATTATTTATCATGATTTATTCTTGTTTATTTGTTGTGTGAGATTAAACAGATTTCTTGTCGATTTCTATTTAACACCAAAATCTAACTATAGCTGAATGTACTGTGCTTACACACGTTAAAAACAAATGTGGGAAAAAAATACATAAGGAGATAGAGAAGGGTTGGAAATTTTAAAAAACAAAATCAAGCATTGTGTAGAAAAACATTTCTTACACTCTCTACAAATTGCAATTATCCTTTTACATCCTAGACGCCTTTTACACTACAATATGTTGTACAGAGATATAAAAAAGAACTGCAACACTTCCTGCTGACCACAAAATATTTCCTTAGAAATGTTTTAATACATTTCTTTTTCCCCCCCAATTTAAACTAACAAGTCTTATCTTACTACTGTACAGTACATATCACACATACAGTACCAATCAAACATTTGAGCACAACTGCTTAAAAACAGGTTTTCATGATTATCTGTGCTTTAAACTGTATAACCTTGTCTATAAACACTTAATATTTAAATTACATGATATGTGTACTTATAATCTTAAGTGACCTGTATTGAAAATGTTAATTTTTCATTTTCAGTAAAAGGAACACCCAAAGCAAGCAGATATCAGTCTGAAGCCCAGGTGAGTTAAAAGTCAGAAATGTGCATAACATCATGTTAGAACACTACCTCATTTACCTTTTGTCAATTATTGTTAAAAAGGTGAGAGTCCACAATTACTATAAATATAGGGAGCACAGGCAAAAGTTTGTAATTCCTGAATGAACATGGCAAATTCTGCTCAGTTAAGCACGGAAAGACTATCAAACGATGTGAAGAAACTGGCACTCATGGTGACCGAAAAAGTTCAGGCAAGCCAAAGGTGACCAACACATCAACTGCTCAGAGGAGGTTCCATCAAGCTGGCCCACCAGGAAGAATTGCTGTAAAGAAACCATTGTTAAGAGTGCAGAATAAGAGCAAGAGACTTGCCTGGGCCAAAAAACACAGAATCTGGACCTTTGAGGCCAGCTTCACGCAACCTCCTCTGAACAGTTTATGTTGAAACATCTGTACTTCTAGTTGCATTGAGCTCAGCTTGTATTTCAGGGGCAGTTAGTCATCGGTTTCGCAGACTTGTGACTCTAATGAATGTATTCTCCGATTCTGAGGTCACCTTTGGCTTGCCTGAACTTTTTTGGTCCCCATGAGTGCCAGTTTCTTCATATTGTTTGATAGTCTTTGCCACAGCAGTTACTGACACTTGCAAAGTTCTTGCAATTTGTCTTAAAGATTGACCTTCATTTCTAAAAGTAATTTTAGACTGTCTTTTTTCCTTGCTTTTTTAGACAATTTTAAACTTTTTTTAGTGTTCTAACACCATGTTATACACATTTGTGACTTTTAACTCACCTGGGCTTCAGACTGATATCTGCTTGCTTTGGGTGTTCCTTTTACTGAAAATGAAAAATTAACATTTTCAATACAGTTCACTTAAGATTATAAGTACACATATCATGTAATTAAATATTAAGTGTTAATAGACAAGGTTATACAGTTTAAAGCACAGATTATCATGTAAAACCTGGTTTAAGCAGGTGTACTCAAACTTTTGACTGGTACTGTATATACAATGTGGTCTGATTCATATCATCAGTCTAAGATCACCAAGAAGCACTCTACTGTGCTTTGTGTTGCAAAAACTTCAGCTGAAGACTTACAGTTGATCTTTTACATTTGAATTTGTAAAAAATAGTTAAATTTAGAACGGACACATATTTAAACTTAAATCATGACTTATTATTGGTAGTACAGTTCTCTTATACTGTATATGCTTTGCATTGAGAAAATACAGCATTTTGTTACTGTAACACCAACTGTATGTGGGTAACAGGTTGAAAGAGAGGCTTTACAACCACAAACGAAAGTAATAACCAGATCTGCTTTCTCAGGATGTTTTATGGTTTTATCAGAGCCCGCAGCCTTTTAAAGACAGAAAGGGTACACCTCTATGTTTTTGCTTTACCCTGAGGGAAACTCCATTACGCAGAATCTACACTGACAGAACAGGACTTAAAAAAAGGTTTCTACTCACCTCCCTGGCAATACTACTCAAGGCCTCATCTTCAGCAGAGAATCTGTCTTTGATAGGAGCACGTTTCCTTCCAGAGCCAGGTGTCCCCATTTCCTCACCTTCTGTCTGATTATGCTTCCTTAAAATCCAGCAGTGGATAAAAACAAACTGTTCCCAGAGACTGTCACCACACTGGAAATTGTAAATACAAATGTATAAATAAAAAGGAAACACAATTTGAAGAAAAAAACATACCACTTGCTAGCATTTATCTTTTAAAACCACTGAAACAACAGTATTTCTCTTGCGTGAACACACATGAACATGATGCCACTGCTCTGTTAATATGCTTTGTAGATTTCTCCAGGTTTCAGTACATTCCCGGAAGGAGCATTTCTTCTGATCAGCGAAGTGTTTTATTATATTGAAAGTATTCAGAAGACCTGTTCTTCTTTTTACTTTGCATATAGCCAAAATACATAACTTTAAATCATTTCTCGTTGTTGATGCTGCTGCTATTCTTCTTAGAGTGAAAAAAATGGGTTGAAAACAAAAGTTCTTTCCAGATAGGTATTAAGACTTTATAATTGACAATTGTATTGTCACTATTGTTATAACAACATTATCACTAGGTGACAGCAACCATTATAATTTTAAAACAAGCACTTAATTGTTAATATTTTCCTGTACCAATTTTCCTGGATGCAAGAGGCATCCATCAGCCCACATTAACTGTGAATTAGGCGTGGCGGTTGAGGTTGCTGTGATCAGGCCTGTCTTACACTGACAGCTATTTTTGCTGACAGTAAAATGGTGATTGGTATTGCTGAATAACACAGTTGGAATTTCCTGCGACCTCACAGAGAAGTTTAGGAAGACTGTGTGAACATCTATTAAACATTTTTATCTATCACCATTACATGTTTTACTCCAGCCCCTTTTAGAAAGACAGCACATACAGTATAAGCATTTAAAGTTTAAGTGTCTTTATTTTTAATTTACTCTTATGTGGTTTCAATATTTAAATGGAAATGAAAATAACTTTCCACATGTTTATGCAGACTTAAACTAGCATTAAACAATAACACATACTGGAACAGAATGGGTGATGTTTTTCTAATTTTTGCTGTGCAAGTAGAGACTTTTACAGAACCAGATGTAAACTCTGTTCTATTTTGCACCTCATCCTGATGTCATATCTCAAATGAAAATTTTAGGAAGGGATTTGTAAAACAGAACCACAAATAAATTTATAATCGGTACAATAAAATAACAGCTTAGACAAGTGATTTTTTCTTCTAGCTACCAATCAAAATTCTTACACTTTGGTCCTCAATTTCCATTATGCTAGCCCACAACAAAACATTCAGCGGTATTACTTCTAAGCCTGATACATAAGTTTAGTTATTTAAAAGATAACACTGCTCCCAGTGAAGATAGTGCTCATCATCAGTAGTGTTTCTTTTTAGCAACAAAATCATTATTGTGATTTGGCAATCATTACAAACAACAGGCATTCAAAGCAGATAACAACGTATTTCCCATTAAAACGAACTAACCTGCAGATTAAAAGGTTTTGTTTACTATTAAAAGTAATTGCAATGAGGAATACTGCATTTCCTTTGTTATAGGAAACCTCATTAAATATTTTAGAGCTCATAATACATTTGTATTACCGTTACTCAAAATGCTTTGCTGTTTTAAAGCAGATCCAACATTTCTGTGGTACTATTTTTGTGAAGGATGAAAACCATGGTGCCACTTTATTGATCTGTGTAAACAGATTTGTTCCAACGCAAAAAAGTTTATTTGCTTATTAGGACAAAATGGTTGTAAATAAAGCCCTTTATTTAATATATGGCTGTCAAATATTTTTTTAAATTATTTAAATACATGCCCTCATAACTTTTCCAACTTGGTCAAGTCATAATCCCAAAGCTTGACAAGAAGGTTTTAGTGGACGGCCATATAATGTTATTTACCCTAAAAGTGCAACAACCAGAATGCCAATAATATTTATTTACAATATTCCACACCACATTTTCACTTTCGACTTCGGCAATATCAAATAGCCGGTGTCACCCAAAGATTTGTGAACAATTCCGTCATTAGAGCTTGCAAGTTACCATTTGCCAGCTTTTCGGAATTTAATGTAATCATTTTAATTGGAAAGAATGAAAATCCAGGAAGTGATCCTTTTTCATCACTATCCTAACCCCACCGGCTCAAAAACAAGGCGCGACAAATCGGCTGTAAAGTGATTTTTTAAAGACGGCAGTCGTACACCTGGGTTTCGGAGTGACATCTAGGAGCATTTGTGCAGTTTCCCATTTCAATCAAGAAAACAGCGTTTCTCAAAATATTTTATTTAGAGTTTCTTAAATCCAAAGCACTTACCTTTAACAGTGTTCAACGGAAGAATGCCGATATACCAGAAACACAGTGTCCAGGGAGAGAAAAGTGGCTCAGAATAGGAAGAAGGCCAGACCCTTTTTTGCAGTTATAATTTCACCTCCGTTTCCAGTGTGACAGCGCAAACTGACACCGCCGCTTATTCGTCCACCTTAACATAAGAAATCCCGATTCTCTTTCACCCAGGATTCCCTTGGCATTAATTTAGGACAGGGTTGTTTTAATTATTATTATTTTTTCCAGCCGTCTCTTTATATTCTTTTCTTCCTCAGAGAGCTGCCGCTAGAAGAAGCGTCTTTCTCCTGCTACTCGAGTCCCCTTCCCCAAACGGCTCCGGCTCCCTGTCTCTTCCTCGCTCGCCAGCTTCTCGGGGTGACCCGATGACGCCGCAATGCCCGGATGTGTGCGGCTAGGGTGGAGGCGGACGCTGATGATTTCATTTAAGATAGAACGATAGTGTCACGCGTTCATAGGGTGTAGTGTCATGGACAAAGAAGAAGCGAAAACATATCGATATCTACTGTATAAACACAATGTGCATATTCTGAGTTTTTGCGGATGTAGGGAGAGTTACAACATATTGCTTTATTTGAACTGAACTGCTAATATAATCGTTGTTTGCCTTATTTACAAGTTATCAAATACAGTTAACTCCTTACAACCTCAAAATGTGCTTGAAAACGTGTTTAATCAGACATGATAAATGTAAAAACCGGAAAAATCTTTTACGATAACCTTCATTACTACTGCCCAATGGGTCTCCGATCTACTGTGAACTGTTATCTCGTTTTTTCTTTCTCTTCTACTCGGAAACAACAAGCACCTTAGAAATGAAAGTACAGTATATGTACATGAAACCACTGATACATTTAAACAGCTTAAAAGATGTTGTCATTAAATACTATTTCAACTCTTTTTCTGTTGCTTAACAAAAAGTAGTTTTTTATAGCAGACAGACGTATTATAAATAAATTCACACATAATAAAATCCAGTACGGTAGAAAGAATCAGTTATTATAAATTATGTTAGTCCATACTTTATAGTTAAAAGTTTAAAGTCTGTGGATTTAGGAAAAGGTAAGTCTTTAGAAATTGTATAGGTGAGTCAGTACTTAAGAATATCTGTAAGGTAATAAAAGATCATAGCCTAGAGTTATCTGAAATTCCTATTATTAGATAAACCTAGTATCCTTTGACACACCCTTCAATCTGGAGAAAAAATGAATTTTTATAACCTTTCTACAAAATTAATGCGAGTCTTACTTCTTTCACAGAGAAACAACGACCTCTACTGGGGAAATACATCTGTATCTGCAACTTTTTAGATTTTTTATGGATATCTCTCTTAATTACACAAAGGATGTTAAGATACTAAAAGAATGAGGATATCCAGTTCATCAATTGGTGTCCTGTTCGCTTGAGTTAAAATAAAAGTATAAAGTCTAGTGGTTATTTAATCTAGCTCACTCCCTTACTTTCAGAAGTTAAGCATTGGAACAGCTTAGTCAACTATTGTGATGTTGAGGTTGAGCGTATTTAGACAGTTAGTGATAGGAAGGAGGCAAGCAAGCTGTTATTCTGGCTCTGAGAAAGCTTTTATTGCCTTTTTTATTTACAGTGGGTGTGCTATCCACAGGGGTTAGGCAAACCAGGTTGAAGATGAGAAGAAGAGAGAGATATGCTGATCCTCAACAGTTCCAGGTGAGAAAAGAGCAAGCAGGGGTCTCTCAGTCCTTTTAAAGGGGTAAAGGGCAGGAAAGAGGGAGCCAGATGAGAAAGGGCAAGGAATGAGCAGATCGACAGACTCCCCCCTTCCCCACCAGGTCCCTTGTCCTCAGGAGAGACTTGGTAGTCTCACAATTGGATTGGTCTCTGTCTCTGTCTGCTCCTCAGGGAATGGCATGATCTGGGTCACGGAGACTGGGACGGTGTAGTCAGGAACACTGCGAACGAGGAAGACTCCTGGATCTTATTGGACTTTGGTAAACCATCAGGATCCGGGAGTCCTTTCCATCAGATAGGGTCGGGCTGCAGCAGGCTTCTAGCGGATGCCACATGTCCCCGGTAGGAGGTCATACGGTCCAGATGCAGCTCTGCCAGATGACCTGCCGGGGGAAGACGCATCCTGTAAGATACCTCACTCACCCGTTCCACAATGCAACAGGGCCCCACCCTCTTGGCATCAAGTTTTGGGTCCATGGATCTGACAGGGACCACAGAGCCAGAGGCCATATTACCCTGCAGCTCACAACTGGTAACCCACTGAAGTTAAGCAGGTGTGAGCCTGGTCAGTAGCTGGATGTGAAACCTTCTGGGAAAACTAAGGTTGCTGCTGGAAGAGGTGTAAGTAGGGCCAGTAGGGGGCGCTCACCCTGTGGTCATTAAAAATCCCAGAGTGTTTCTTGAAAAGAGAAGAGGTGTTACCTCTGTGTCCTGGCCAAATTTCCCATCGGCCTTTACCAGTCATGCCCACCAACAGTAACAATCCCATCTGTGATTGGTGTTCTCTACTCTTTTCTCCCCCCCACTGATAGGTGGTGCACTATGGCTGCCGTCCATCATCCAGGTGGGTGCTGCACATTGGTGATGGAGGGGAGTCCCCATTACCATTATTATTATTACTATTATTAGATCCAGACGTCCTCACCCCGATGGAAGGGCTGCTCCCAGGGCCAGATGTCATATTTCCTCTGGTAGTGTAGTCCCAGTGCCCTTGTCTGCTCTCGTCAGCTCAAACCTCTGGACAGTCTCCATACGTTCTCTTAGTTGTATTCTTAGTCTCGTATTCCGACTCACCCACAGCAGGGCCTTGGTTGAGAAGTCACCAAAAGACCATCTTAGCTGGAATCTGGAGCTCATGGCAAAGCATTAAAAGATGGGTGTGCAGTCAGTGGACTTCTGGACTGCCAAGTGGCAGGAGAGAAGGACCAGCAGCAAATGCAGGTCCCAGTATTTTTGGTGCCATGCAATTAGTCAGGAACAGCTGTGTGCCCAGATTTGGTTGAACCGCTCATCAAGTCTGTTGCTTTGGCAGCATAAGGAAGTGGTCCATGTCTTTCAGATTCCCAGGTGTTAGCATATGCACTGGAGCACTTGGGACTCAAAATTCCGACCTTGGTTTGAAAGCAGTTCCTGCGGCACCCCAAACCAACTGAATCCCCCACCCCCCAGTTAAGGCCTCAAACTCTGTCTCCTCCTTTTGGTCAGGTAGAGCGTAAGCCTCTGGCCAGTGATTGAAATAGTCCATAAACACAAGAATGTACCTGTTGCCATGAAAGTGTGCATGGAAGCGGACCCAAGACATCCATGGTTACTCTGCACTGGGGCACCAATGCGGAATGACAACAAACCCAGGATTGTTCCAGAAGTCTCTTCCGAGTGGTACAGGTGTTCCAGCATTGACAGAAGTCTGCAACGTCCTGTCAACCAAGGTCTTGTGAACCCACCCCCAGTAATAAGGCTGCCAGACATGCCTTAGGATCTTTGTGATGCCGAAATACCTCACTCCCAGGGGCCCAAGGTGCTCCTGGAGGTCCTGGACCTAAAATGCTGCTGTAAAAGCCACGTGGCATCTCTCCCAAGGCAGAATGCACCTAGTACCACTTTGACATGCCATCCTGGCTAAAGAGTCCTGCTTCTGAGCCCAGACAACCGATCTTCTTCACTCAGGTGGAATGCTCATCTTTACTCATCCAGTCCTGACCTTTGCGGAGCTCTGGATCGGCATACTTGCTATCTCCCCATGCTGGTGCATGGTCAGAAACCTGGATCCTGCAGTTCAGGGTGGTCAGGGGCGAATCTCGCCCTCTGTCCTCACATGTCACGCCGTGTTTGCAGCCAGCCTCAGTGCAGGGTTGCCTAGAGAGCTCATTGGTGGTTCCATGCTGCTTGTGGGCCTGATGCTACACAGAGCTCTTCTGGCTCCCAGAACAAGAGGAGCTAACACCGGGGAATGTAGCCAGTGCAGCGTGAAGGGGAGCCCAAGGATGTAATACTGGAAATGGTGAATCACGCTCACCACTGCAAGGAGCCACAGGGAGCTCCCATCTGGTGACACAGTAGTTGTGCTCCTGTGCAGTGAAAAGAAGAAGAAGAGAGAGATACTGCTCTTGAACGATTCCAGCAGCAAGAAGGGGGTAAAATCCTGGAAAGGGGGAGCCAGAATGGAAAGGGCATGGGGCACAAGAACAGTCCATTTTGGGGAGAAGTGGATCACTACAATATTATGGCAGTAGGTAAAAAATGAACTGGCTGACAATAATTTTTTACGCAAAGTCTTGTGTTTGACATGAAGTGTGGGAAACTTTAATAATTGAATAACTGAAGTCTCCAGGTAGGATACAATGGTCTAGCAAGTACAGTAAGTGCTCACATGGACACAGAAAAGCTAATGTGCAGCATCATATGGAAGTATTAAATCATGGTAATTCATGGTACTTCAGCAGACATGCACTAGCGAAGGTCCATCTTTTATGAATTAATGACCATCCAGTATTTGAGACTATCTGAAACCACTTAACATTTCTCAAATTAATAGTAATACTTGCTTGCATTGTATATCCCTTTTCATCCCAAAGCAAACCAATGTGCTTCGAACACAGGAAGGGGGACTCTCTTCATCCATCACTACTGTAGTACCGCATCTAATACACCAGCAGCCCCATTATGCAGCAGATCGGTTTAAGCATTGATCAATTAGTTCATCTGTTGAAATAAGTGTAAATTGGAATTGGCTGCATGGAATTGAGCCATGACTATGGAGTTAACCTCTGCTTATACAAATGGTGTCAAGGGGTCTTTCATGACAAAGTAGTCATTATAAGGTGAGAAGAATTTCAGTATTTTATATTTGTTTTAAATTTTTTTTGCCACTGCCAGGCCATAGTACTGTATACTGTATGTCGTTACTGACTAACTGTGAAATTGTCATACATATTATTATAACATCAAATAAGAAATATTTTAATATTTAGAGCATAGAAACATAAAAAAGGTTGCTAACAAGAGAAGCCCACTTAGTTAGATTATTTGATAGTAGCTACTTAATCAGAAGATCTCTTTCAGCCATTTCTTGAAAAAAGACTAACAGAATCCTTTGTGTAAGAAAGTGCCTCTTAAAGTTTTAAAAGCACTTCCCATTAATTTCCACTTGAGTCCTCTGGTTCATGTTTCACTGTTAATTTTAACTCCACAGGAGTTGGCTTTGTCAGTACCCTTGAGGATTTGGAAACCTTGAAACAGGTCTCCTCATAGTCTGTTATGGACTAAAGTATACAGTATTCTTATTTTCAGTGTAAAACATTTCTGCAATCCAGGAATGTGTTTGTGTGCTCCTTCCTGGACATACTCTAATGCATTTTGGGGTATTATGTTTTATATCATAGTGACTAAAAGTGCACACAATATTCTAGATATGTTCTTACAAGTGATTTTTACTATTTTAACTAAATATTCCTTAATTTCAATTCTACAATTTTAACTGTATACAACAAATATTCTGCTTGTCTTGGAAAATTGTGTTTCCACAATCTCTTTAACATGTAAATGATTTGTCTACTTAAAAGGTGGTCCTAATACAGATCCTTGAGGTCTGTATCCTTGTTCCTATTTTTAATTGTATCCTGTTCTTTTTACATATTTTCAAGTATTTTCTTAATTCTTATATTTTTTCACAACTTAATAAACCATTTGGGCCAGTGATTTCAGACTTTTTTATTTACTTTTGGGATGAATATGTTCTGTGTCTCAAGAAGAATATATTTAAACTGTTACCATTCATTCTCTACTGATGTAATGTTAACAATGTCCTATTCAAATTCTGCTTTTCTTAAGTTATTTCATAGTTCTAAAGTTGTTAACTTTTGAACTTTATCTCAGCAGTTTCAAAATGTACACCAGGGCATAAGATATTATGATGACAGGTCTTTACAGATTCTTGCATTTGTTTTCTACACTTTACTCTTGTTGTTTGCAAAGACCAGATCAATACAGACATTCCCTCTAACTTGTATTTTGACAAAACAGAGTTTTGTCAAAGAAATGTAAATTTCCCATGTGGTTGCAACATAGCTATCATATAGTTCATATATATAGCTATCATATATCATATAGTTGTTTTGTTATGTTTTAAATTAAAACAATATTTTTTAACAATATTGTTCAATAAACAAGGTACAGGAAACTGATTACACTAAATTTGTTTAGGAATATCTGCTTTATTCACCTAGATTTCGCGATGGTTATTAATAAACACAAGCCTTATTAAACGCTTGAATTGTGAAGTACGCTGATCTAACATGTCCTTCTTCGTTTGCCGTAACTATATTTCTCTCTGCTCCACGTCGGCTGCACAGGCGCAGTTTGCGCTTTCACCTGCGGGGAGATGAAAGACGGTGATCTCGAAGATAGAAAGACCGAGGATTAGGGAAAAAAGCACTTTTTAATATTTAACATCGATTACTTTTTGACAGTAGCAGCGGCTTGAAATATGTTCAAGAAACTGAAGCAGAAAATTAACGAAGAGCAGTCCCCACAAAGGAATGCGCAGTCTCAGCAGCAGGCCCAGGTACAAGACGAGTTTACTTTCCGAGAGTCTGTTCTGTCGGATGGTTATCAGCTACCGGTGGTTCAGCCTTGGGAATTTAAAGACACACACGAAAATGACATGACATCAATAAAATTAAATCTGATGGCCAGCTGTTAGTTTCCTTGGCTGTCTAGATAAATAAAGGTCAGACAGTTTGTTTTATCGTCAAACCAATGATGTCATTTAGTTATTTTTCTTGTAAGTTTCAAAGGTGCATCAGCATTTGATTTATCGAAACCGAGTTTCTAGCGACGTTTGTTTTGCATGTCGCGAAAGATCAGTCAGTCTGAAACTTATATTTTAGTCGGCTTGCGATATCACTTTCACTCTAGTATTTTTTAAGGATGTTTACTTCAAAGGGGATTAAGTTTCATCTTATGTATGTAATGATTTACTACCTCTTTGAATAGAATTAATTAAAAATCACGATGCACGAAGCATCAAAGCTTTCCGGCAAAATGAGTGATGATAGCCAAACAGTAATTTAATTAACTGAAATTACTGGAGAGAATGGTGTGTAACTAATGCGGAGACGTGTCATTGATAGGTTAGTCATACTTGTGTCACCTGCTTTGCTGGTGACGGCTCTCAGGTGGTAAAAACCGTAAACCAACCTGTGCGATCGACGAAATGATTTAACGTTTTACAGAGGTCACGTAAGTACGTTTAGTCTAACTGCCTGTGTTCTGGCTTGGACATTATTAGTTCCTTCTTAATCGTAGCAATGCTATGCTATTGTCGTGTGTATAATGTTGGGTAAACGAGGAAGTGTTGGAAAAATCTAGGTCAGCGATCGTAAATGGATCAGAGCATACAGGAAAATGTTCTTCAGGGAGCCCGGGGGGGGGACAACTGGCTCCCGGTTTTTGTTGTGACAGGTTAATGTAATCCTGACAAATGCGCGATGCGAGTCTCCGCGCGTTTGAACAAGAATAATATTTTAAAGTGTCTGCTCAAAACGTGTAACAAAGTTATCGTAGAAAGCTGTGTTAATTATTTTATTTACTATTGTTAGAAGCCTGTGTTCAATCAACTATAACAATTTTGTTAATCTCAGATTTTAGTACATTTATATACTTAGTATGTACAAGGACATACTTATGCTATACTTCCCTTCACAGTTGGTATCGACCATCTAGTATGTCTTCGTTGACCAAACCACATTTTCCCCTTACACATTGCTTAGTTTGTGGGAAAAAATGCCTTGGAAATATCTGCATCAGTGTAATTGGCAGTCATTTTATTCTGCTGAATTTCTCCTATTTGGATTCCTTTCTCCTCTTGTTTGTTTACGATGGTTTCAAATATACTGCATAATTGGATATCGTAAATATATGATTGTCATTAGTCTTCCAAAATAAAAGGAATCGGCCAAATGAGCTTTTAAGCTTGGCAGAATGCTGTTCTAGCAGTTTTGCAAAGGCTTCTGGGAACTGACTAAGCCTTAAGAGAGCCAGAGAGTTTTAATCTTTATTGGCAAATCATACTAATATATAGTGAAGGATTATTTTAATTATCTGCTTCTTACTTTGGTTGACTTTTAAAACCACTGATTTTTTGTTAACTCCCTTCATGATGTGCATTTGATTAGTTTAAAAGGTCTAAATGTAGTTATCGGGTCCAATTGTTAGAAAAATATCACAAATCTAATTTTTCTCATATGATGAATTCGCATAATACCATCAGTTCCTTTACCATCATTGTTTCAGGTATATAATGTAAATTTCTGTATGTTTATTTGCTGTGTATGTTCCACAATGTTCAATTTAAACTGTTTAGTTGACCTCTGCCCTTCATATTTTTACATTGGAAAGCCATAACACTATACATCTATCTACAGCTAGCTATCAGAGTAATATTCTATTTTTAAAATAATTATATGGTTGAATGGAATGCGTTCTGGTGTTGAAGTTCATAGCTGTAACTTGCAAATTTAATGTTATCACTCTGGGACACTAATGTAGTTTGTGCTCCCACATGTTCATTTATGAACTGAAAGCAATTTACTGTGCAGCTCAGTGATCATCAGACCCAGCATAACTCTGCAGTACATCACTATTACTATGTTTAGAATAGTGTTCACAAAGTTATTTGGAGTATAAGCTGACAAATTGGGAAGGTGTTAACTAAAGCCATTTTCCTATGTGTTGAAATGGTAATAGAATTGCCAGTATTAAAAAAAAAAGTTTTTCAGGCAGTTATTTTCAATTCAGAATAAATTGCAGCAAAAACTGGTGTGTTATAGGCCTGCTTTTTCTAGATGCTGAAGTGTCATCGTATTGTCCTTTGGATTTCACTTGCACACTGAGGTCCAGTAATGACTCTAAATGAGAATTTGATCTTGTCGTCTGTACTCATCAATACATGAGAAAAATGTGCTACCACTGACACGATTTGTACTACTGTCTCACTTCTTTGGCCAGATCAAGGATAACTACTTTGTGAGTATGGCTGTAAAGTGCAGGGTATCAGTGTTTTTGTTAATGCTCACGTTTGTTTATGAAATAAGTGGTTATATGTTTATTTTCAACAGGTTTGGTTTACAAATCAGCCTTCTTTTAAACCGGTTCCTTGACTTGTGTTTTTTTTTTGTGTATATACTCATTATTTAGTTTATAACCCCAAATATAAATCTTATTTACATACTGTTGTCTGCACAGTACTCCGGTCTTGGGCTCTGTAGTGGAGAGGGCTTCTCTTTGTCAGTTTAAAACAGAAAACGAACCATTCAAGTAAACCCTAAGGTAACAAAAACAAAGCTTTAAATATTAGTATGCTACAGCCTGTTTCTCATTCCCTGATCCGTTAACCAGCACCCATCCCTAGAGCAGTGCTTCCTGGCCCCTGCTAGGATCTTACATAATATTGCCAAATAAGTATTCTAGCTATGGGCAGCTTTCGAAAGGAGGAGGGGGTCCTTTCGAAAGCTGGTCCCTGGTACAGAAAAGCGTGAGAAACACTGCTCTACGGTTTTTGAGCTCTTTGTTACTGGGTACTGTATAAATGACCAGAAGACACCACTTGTACCAACACAGAATAGATTGTTTGAAGATCATGGGCAGCTCATGCATATTTACTAGTTTTATGCTGAGTAGTACCCCTATTAGCTTCTGAGGCTCCATCTTTGTGAAAGTTGGCAGAAGGGCTCTGTTTAGGCGTAGCTGGTTTATATTTTTGCTTACCTGGTTATATAATAGTAATCTGCAATGTCATTGAATTTGTTATAGTGTCTCCTTCGCCATAGTAGGCTTTCCCTTTTTGACCTATTATATATTTGTTTTGTTAGAGCAAGAAACCTAAATATTCTATTCCAAAACATTTTAGTCTTATTGACCCTAGTATAATAAGAAAATAAATCTCTAACCAATCATTTTTTTAGTCATTCAGAAAACTGTCATTTATGTAATTCATATAATTTATATTTTTGCAATTTACTTTTATATTATTGGAACACTTACTTTACAAGTGAAATGCAAAGACTTATAGGTGTAAAAATGCTTGTAGTCTCGAATCTAAAGAGGTGTTTGTAATTTTCATTGATGTTCTTATGGAGATATTACTAGAAAAGGAATCTCTCCAGCTATGGTCCTGGTGAGCTCCATTGCAGTTAGTTTTGTAAAGATGAGCAATTTCTGAAAGCTGTTGATGCATGAAGCAAGTTTTCTGTTCAGTGACAAAAACTCTCATTCTGGGGAGCTTAGATTCTGGGAAACTGTTCTATATTTTAAAGCTATAGTAATTTAGTAGTGACCTACTTAATCTGTTGTGCTAGAGCTCTCTTGGACCAGGGGTGAACATCCTTTACTAGAACATATGAAAATAAGATTGGCTAAAAGGTCTCCTTTAATTTGCAACCTTTCTTGCTTATTAAGGAAATTAGTAGCTAAGTAAACTAAACTTTCAACCAGCCTTTTGATAGAAAAAAATATTATGTTTCCAGCTATAGATGCAGCCATTTAAAATGCATGAGACGTCATATAGCAACAAGTCTCATGGCATGACAAACAGCACATATTGAAAATTTTATCAATTTTATATATTACAGTATGTTAAATATTAATTTAATATTAATAATAAAAGTAGCAATAAAATAGATGCACATATGTAGTGTAGAACTACTGAAGCAAATGTGATGTTTATTGCTCCTGATGTGTGAGAAGCACAAACCAAAGGAGCAATAGTTAATTTACCACCAGATCCTGCAGTTTTTAGTGTTTTATTTGTTGAACCATAAGTAACTCTTCCTGTTCTTCAAGTCTGAACTATGTATTAAATGCAAATGTAGAGTCATGTGAAAGAGAAAGTACACACTCTTTCAATTCTATGGTTTTATATATCAGGACATAACAAAAAATAATCTGGTCCTTACCAGGTCCTAGAATTAGGTAAATCTAACCTCACAGATTCCACTATGTCATTATTTATTTAACAAAAAAATAAGCCAACATGCAGAAGCCATGTGTGAAAAACTAAGTACATCCCATGATTCATTAACTTGTAGAACCACCTTTAACAACAATAACTTGAAGTTATCATTTTCTGTATTTTCTGAGTTTATCAGTTTCTCACATTGTTTTGGAGGAATTTTGGTCCACTCTTCTTTACAACATTGCTTCAGTTCATTGATGTTTGAGGGCATTCGTTTATGCACAGCTCTCTTAAGGTCTCGCCACAGCATTTCAATGGTGTTGAGGTATGGACTTTGACTTGGCCATTCCAACACCTTCATTCTTTTCTTTTTCAGCCATTCAGTTGTAGATTTGCTGGTGTGCTTGGGATCCTGTTGCCTGACCCTGTTTCGGCCAAGCTTTAGCTGTCGGACAGATGGCCTCACATTTGTCTCTAGAATACTTTGGTATAAAGAGGAGTTCATAGTCGACTCGATGACTGCAAGGTGCCAAGGTCCTGCGGCTGCAAAACAAGCCCAAATCATCACCCCTCCACCACCGTGCTTGACAGTTGGTTTGAGGTGCTTGTGG